TAACTTCAAGAAAGTGAAATAAACGATTCAGATATAAGACAGGGATGCGACAGGAAAAAGCAGGAAAAATATCCCTCAACGGACAATAAAAACTTTAATGTACAATAACTGTCCAAACATGTTTGTCAATTACGAGTTTGAAAGGGAAAACGGAAAAAATCTGAGCGACTCCTCCGTGTTCACTCATCCAAAGAAAGAGGAAATATTTGATGAGAATTTCTTCGTTAGATTTTTAAATGCTCGTTTCTAAGATGAAAATTTGTTTCTAAAATGACTGAAAACAGCCGGCATACTGGACACGGCTGTTTGCATGAGTAGAAAGTTCACAGTCTAACCTACACAGTGTGTGTGTGTGTGTGTGTGTGTGTGTGTGTGTGTGTGTGTGTGTGTGTGTGTGCGCAGAAGGCTCAGAAGAGTAACGAGAGGCCTCAGCACGGGAGCAGCTGAGGGTTTGGGATTTATTAATTACCTCATGACAGTGTGTGGTGTGAAGTAAACATTGCCAGTGGGACGGGGGGGCCGAGAGGTGTGATGGTCAAATGAAATCCACGGGGATTGTGGGAAGTTGTGTTCTGCCCACAGTGCTGAGTAACAGTCTGTTAAAAGTCTAATAAGTCCCTTCTTACTGCAGACTTTTAACAGGGGGGGTTACATGAGTTTCTACTTCATTCTTGTGAAGTACATAATATTCAAGCAGTAACCTCGGATGTTGAAAGAGGAAGTCGATCCTGCAGTTCCTCAAATGTCGACTAGAGGCTGGCTGCAGAAGCACAGGAAGTCACATACACATCCATTCTAAAAAAGCCTGTTTTTACAGCAGAGATGAACATGTTTACAGCCTGGTTCAAAAAAACAAATAGGTGTGATTAGCTCATGTTTCGATCGGCAGATACTGTACAGGGGGTGAATGTTCTGATGACTCAACAAAAGCCCAAACTTGACAAATAAACGCAACAATATGAAGCAATACAGCAAAAACAGAAAATATTCAACGCAACAACACGTGTGCAAATCTGGAGCTTCTTGCAGCAATTACAGACTGCAACACAAGCTCTCACAAACAGACACTCTTGCGTGCATGTGTACAGAAAAAAAACTGATTTATGTAATCCAATGTATCCCATCACATGATAAGTGAGAACGGGACAGGCTGCAGGGAATGCTTCCAGGAAACTGTGGCTATCTCAGTGACGATCACATGATGACAGGACCTACTGCTGCTGCTCGCTCGCTCGCAAAACATAAAATCAATCTCACCTCTCAGAAGTGTTCCTGCAAAAACAGACACAGGGATACTTCTTTAGAGTAAGTTTGCCTCTTTTTGTCCCTATAAATACAGACAGCTAAGTCCCTGCTTCTTTCAAAAGAGCAGAGAAACATGTAAAATTCATCCAGAAAGGAGTCGAGCTGAGATCTATCAGAGGAAGTGGACTAAAGAGTGATATCACTGATGTGATGTAAAGATCGATTAAGAGAGCGAAATGTGGCATATTGAGAGCTAAAGAGGTCTCTGAATCTGGCTGCTAAAGAAAGAATAGGTAGGCAGTTTTAAGACACGCCCCCACACGGCCGTTTTGGACGCCCCTCGGTTTGCCAGGTATGAGAGCAGTTATCAGGTCAACAGGTGTTGCAGTGATGGAAGCGGTCAAGAGAAGTGGTTCAGATAGAAGTGATTGTACCCGACCTAAAAAGCCTCTGCATGTTTCTAATAAGCTCCACGAGCAGAAACGTGCTCAAACTAGGATCAATATTGGAGATGCTTTTGAAAAATGGAGAGAGGTTAGAACACAGAAAGGTTTACAGACCCATGCAGAGCTGGATAAACACTGAAGCTTCAGAGTCCACCACATGGTGACCTGAGTGAGCATCCACTCTAAAGAGGAGGGGGGGGGGGAGACAGCTCTCTATGATGTTTAGAATTTAGACTGCAGTACCCATTTTAACCATTAGGGGGTCAGCTCTAGGTCTTTCACACCAGGAATCATTACGTCATATTTATTGTTTACAGTATAACTACTGTAGTCCGAGTCTGTGATTTACTCTTCCATCAGTTTAATGACGTTGCCGTTGATGTTGCTAATGCATCCTTTGCTTTCTGTCTCCGCCCCCTCTGCTGTGTTTCCTCTCCCATCAAACAGAAGTGGGCGTCCATTTTACCAGGAGCTTTACACCTACCAGGGGATCAGCGATAAAGTTTGCACTCCCTTAATGCATGTTATTGCACTTAAAGCAGCTGCAGTGAGCTGTTAGTACGGATTTCCAGGTAACTGAAGAATTGACTTTTTGAAACATGAAACCAGCTTGAATTGTCCTCCATCATAAAGAACGCTCATGTCTGTTTTTGTTTTGGCTCAGTTATGTCTGGGATGCCTGCTCCTCATGCTCTGCAGACTTTTCAAACAACCAGTGCTTCATCTTTTCTGGAGAACTATAAATTCTACTTTCATTTAATTTATTGTATTTATCAGAGTGCAATGACATCGATCATTTACACAAAGAAAAACTAGAAGATGGTTGCTCCAGATTTAGCAAGTGGCTTATTTCCATCTGTAGTAAAAATATTTATTTTGTCAAATTGATTTAAATCGTCCATGTTAGTATTGATATTCATTCGCATTGCATTGCGAGGTATTCACATCCCTCGCTGAGAGACTTACAAAAGATTTGTCGACAATTTTTCACAATGAATTTATAACTTGATAAAAATAATGTGGCTATAAAAGTTATCATCACAGCAAGAAGGTAAAATAGAAGAGGGGGAAAAAACGATTTATGTAAAAATCGAGATGAGATTTGAAATAGATTCATAACTTCCATCATTTTTTTTTCGAAGCTCTTTAAAGGCTTTGAATCTTTAAAGGCTTTGCATTGTTGTGTTAGCATGCTAATGCTAGCGATCTTTATGATGCTGGTATCTTCACACTGCATGTAAATTTACCTGAAATGAGCGTGATCTAGAAACACAGTTAAGCAGTGAGTACAGTATGTTATTCTTCTTTTCTCTAGTCCCTCAATTAAACAACTTTTATACACGAGGGGAGGAGTCAGCCGGCCGTCCGGGCGATGTAAACAAAGTGAAGATAGGACTCTGAAAACTCTGAAAACATCACAGACAGTGGGACTCGGGTGTTACACCCATTGTAGACAGTCATGACTCACAGAGTTATTTTCAGAGGATATACTTGATTTCTACATTTAAGTGTGAACAATCACATAGAAAGACTTTAACTGACAAATGGAGCAGCGAGAAATTCAGCCAGTCTCACAGATGACTGGAGTAGATCCTGAAGTATGTACTAAATAAAAAAACAGACTTTGAATCATGAATCCAGAATCTTTTTGAATCGTGATCAGATTCTGAATCGAATCGCGACACACAAAGATTCCCAGGTTTTCACTTAATACGACTTCAATCACTCTCAGCCTCTCCCGATCCAACCCCGAAAACACAACAAGTCAACAAAGTGCTTATATTCACAATGAGCGTTGCCTCCTGATGACATCATCCATGTCATCCAGCTCAGAGTCGCAGCAATAGCACGATAACAAAACCAGCATTTTAAAAAGCTAACAAAAATGCAATTAAGTATAAACACATCTCTAACCTCTCAGTTATACAAGTGACCACGGATTATAATCATTCATGGCTCCTGCATAGAGCCTTACATCGAGGAGAAACAATGCAATAACTCTAAACAATGCAGCCAGCAACTTACCTGATAAGATTTCTGAAATTGAACCCTATTTTAAGAAAATGAACAAGTGGATTTAGTTTGCTTCATTGGCAGATCTTTTTTTTCTAATTGTAAGCAGTTCAGATGTGAATAATACTAAAAGTGTAAGGAGATATTTTTGACTAGAAAGTAGAGGAATACACTTGATAAGATTTGACTTTTTTGCAGTGTACAGTTTCATGGCTCGTGAAAACTGAAACATGAGCCAATAATTTTCTTTCCTTCCTGCCTCTGCGATGACATTCATGAATCATCCTTCAGCGCTGCACGGCTTCCTCTGCACCGCCCTGAACTTCATGAATGAAATCAGCAAGCCCTCATTGGCGCCAGCGAGAGTGATTACCACGAGGGCTTCTGTTTGATACCCGTCAACACACACACACACACACACACACACACACACACATGCATGCACCTATACTGTATATACTACATACTGTTTGTAATGCAGAGAAATGTACATCTCTGCAGACCTCATGTTGAAAGCAGCTCCAAAATGTGACAAAACCATCTCCCGCTAGTCCACCCCCCCCCTTCCACTTCAACACACCCACACCCTTAGCCAGCACACCCCCCCCTTTCCCCCATCACCACCACCACCATCCCTGCCCCTCCCCTGGGCCCCCCTTCAGCAGGCTGCATGTCTCTGGAGGTCGCCTCTGACGTCAGCAGCTCGACTGGGCCGAGTGCCAGCTCTGTGGGCCCTTGATGGATGCGGTCGGTCTGAGAAACAGGCCCGATGTGTGTGGAGCGCACGGCACACAGACTCAACCCCGGCCCCCGCTCACACACATCTAACGACCCGTAAACACTCGACAGGCCCCCCCATTCCCCCTCTCCCTGTCTTCTGTCTATCACACACACTGACGATTAAAGGAGACACATGTGAAGATGAGTGATTTCTTCTGCAAATGGCGGGGGTAATAAATTCAACCACAGCCGGCCTCGGCACTGGTTATCCCCGGCTCCTTAAGGGGGAAAGCTTTCAGTTTTTTTTTAGTGCAATAAAAGCAACAGTTGACGTGGCTGCAGAGATCCGTGAAGCCTGAATTAGTGGTCGCCTAGCTGAGGAACCCTTAGGGGGATTATGTGAGCGAAAAAAGAACAAACATTTCACCAAAGCAAAAATATTACAAGAAATGACAACCCTACATCAATATGTTGAAATCCACTGATCCGATCATTGAGTCACAATGATCCAGAGAGCTGCAGCATGTGTGTGTTGTGTGTGTGTGGGAGTGTGTGTGTGTGTGGGAGCGGGTTTACCTGCAGGCCTGCTGCTGGTCTTCCTCTTCAGCCATCTGTCCAACGTCTCTGCACTCACGCTCTCCAACACAAAGTCGTCCAGCATCTGCGGATGCAGCGAGAGGTAGGCCTTCACTTTCTCATCCGTCAAGCCTGAGGAGTGCACACACACACACACACACACACACACACACACACACACAGAATGCCTTTTAGTTCAAATGTTATCAGATTTTATCATGACGATGCAATATGTCAATGGCAAAAAAATAAAGTTTCTGAAAATGCTAAACAAGAAGGAAGGAGAGAAACATAAAATGATCATCACCATTTATTGGAACAGAAAACAATGGAGAGGACTAAAATCCTAAAAAGCTAGGAGGTATAAAATAGAAATTAAAAATGGCTAAAACTGGAAAATGTATAAAATTAAAAAGCATATGTGCAGGAATTTTCAATAAAATTTCCAAGCATATAAACAGTTATAATATTAAGACATTAATGTGGTCTTCTTTTTTCTGGATTTTTTTGTGTGCAGACATAAATCTCAGTAACTCCAGATCTCAGAGTACAAATATCGGCCTTTCCAGGAAAAAATAAATCTCAACCAAACACTCTGAGAAAACCGTTCCGATGTTATTTATCTAACATGGAAACCTGCAAGGTTCAGGTCAGAAAAAATAAAACGCCATTTGTAAATCTGTTCCCACCGTTTACAAATCCAAAATCTTAAATCGGAAATAAAGGAAATAATTTTTCTAAAAGAAATCTCAGTCATAGTTTCAATTACAAAAACGTGTCAACATGGGTTTTAAGTCAAACACCAAGATATTTATATTTTTATGTTATCAACCAATCAATTTGAACTCTGTCATAGCCAATGTGTCTTGCAAGATCAGGTGTCTCATAACATGCTATTTAAGGTGAGCACTGTTCCTGATGCACAGAAACAGCCACAGGTCACATGTTGCTCTGTGCTGTGAGGTGACAGCGGCAGCAGCAGCAGCGTGTAGGTTCCAGCTCCAGCTCTCTGATAGCCAGGCTAGCTCACTTATGTTTACTGTAAAGCTGTGTCTCCAGGGATTGGAGCCCCCAACAGAGGCAGCGGGATAAAGGAGGACTCGATTGTGCTTAATAGGCAATTAGGTTCTTGAGAGCTCGCTAAGTGCTGCTGTTTACTGTCTTTGTTGTCAGGGAAAAGAGCCATTTGCCAGACCGTCGTTGAGGGAAAGTTGTTTTTAATACAGCCGCTGGCGTCTGAGAGGCCGTCACGATGCACTAGGAAACCATCATGGTGAGGTCACACACACACACACACACACACACACACACACACACACACGTGAACCATCATCTCATCATGGAGACGGTGAACTGAACCGGACATGAAATGCAACCAGACGTAATAATTCCTCGAAAAAAGGAAAACAAATCTTACAGCAGCGCTGGATTAGCATGTTGTGGTTCAGAACACAGAAAGAGGAATCTGTTATCAGATAAGGACGATAAGGCAGGTTGTTCTATTCAACAGACGCGATCACTTTTTATGAAGCTTTCTCACGAAAACGTCTGCTTATCAGCAGCATCTGAGCAGACTCCCTTTGAGGATGAATCACAGGAGGACATGCAGCTGGAAGGCATGTGTTGAGCCGGCAGACACACAAACATACACGGACACAGTATGAAAATATTACTCAGCGGAGCGTCTGACTGAAATCCTGTATGAAATCAGGGCGGTGAATGGCTGCAGACTTTTGCCTAACAGAGCTGAATGTGAAGACCTGACTTTACGAAACAATCACAATTCTGTTTAAAAGTGATTTTATACATTTTGTAATATGCTGCAAAAAACTAATTTTGTGATTTATTTGTTTGAAAGGTCACCTGATATGCAAAATAAATTTTACCCTGTTGTTCTAACTCTAACATGTGTCTCTAGTCTGTCTACAACCCCCCCAATGATGAGAAAAGTCCATCCTCTCCGTCTTCTGCCTGCTCCACTCCATTTTCTCTACTTGAAAATGTGCCCCTCCCCCAGGTGGGTGACACTCCCACAGCTAGGTGTTTGTTCTGCCCTTTGAGTCTGCCTTCTCACCGTAAACAATAGGACATGGAGCGAGAAAGCACAGAGTACACCCGAGCCCTTCCAGAGAGGGGGCGTGGTCAGACACAGCTCATTTACATATTTAAAGGTACAGACACAGAAACAGCCTGTTCTGAGCAGGGCTGAAATAGAGGGGTTTATAGACATGATCAAATACAGGATCAGAGTGGATTTAGAACAAGAAACTTCACACACATGTTTTGAGGAGCTCTGAGACTTATTTACACTGAAGAGGAGGAGGAGGAGAATATGTGACTTTAAACTCCAAATTCTGTCTCCAAAGGAAAGTTTTACTCACACGTGTTTCAAGACTTCAGTCAGTTTATCTCACATAATTTCTTCTGCAAGAAAATGCAAATCCAAAATGATATGCAACCGTTGAGATGCAGGTGCAGCAAAGACGTGTGACTGCTGGAAGGACATAAAGCAGGCGACAAAGACAATACCTGCTAAAAGAAAATAAACTAAAACACAACTTGTACCAAAACTTCAGCGGCCCACAGCAACTGCTGAAATCCAAGTTAGTACCATTGAGATCAGAGATCACCTTTTCAGGGGGAGACCTGGCCAAGAGGTGCAGCAACACAACAACACAATCACTCAAACTCAGACAGTGAGTACACATTACATAATAAGACAATCATCAGCTAAAACAGCTGCATACACAAAGTTTGTATATAAGACTTTTCACCACTGTTTCAAATCAGACTGCAGGTTGTTCCAAGCAAAATGTGCAAACCCAAAAATCTTCCTTCCCCGACTCAGATAAATCTCAGTGAACCACGACACACACTGTCCAGTCTTCATTAATAACCTACTTCCACTTCCATGGAGAGCCATTTACAGTAAGAGCAATATAAAAATCTGTCAGTAGATCCAGATGTTGAAGAGTAATTAGATGGATGACATCTTTTGCTGCATGCGGTGAGGAACATTTTCTATCTTTCAACAGGCTCAAATCAAATGCAGTAAGTAAGTGTACGCTAAGGCTCAGGCGCCTGCAAACTGAGAGAGGCACAACACTGGCTTTATGTTTAGAATTTAAAAAGAGGAATGCAGCGCTTTGTTTACCGGCGTTGTCATGCAGCCCCTTCAGGTTTTTAAATCAGAAATGTCAGTAAATTTGAGCAAATAAAAGTATTTTCTTTCGGTGTGCTGCACCACTAACTGATGTTGGGGGGGTCATTCCCACATTACCAGAGGTCCCGTGCAAGTATGGCTTTGCTTTAACAAATTCTGAAATAAGAAACCGATATGCAGCAGAAGCCAAGCTCTCGAGTAGACGGAGCTCAACCCCCAAACCTTCAGCGTGATCTGACACTACTACCACCTGACGTCCCTGACGCCCAGCCACCTCCATCGGACTGTGTCGTCCCACAACCACCGGCGCCCTCATTCATGCACGGCCTGCTCCGACCTCCACCTCAGTGGCGAGGAAGTGTGGACAACAGGGATAGTCTCCCGCTGTGAGGTGAAAATGTGAACATCCAGGTCAGGAGAATATCTGGAGCATTCCTCCTGAAATAATCTAGAATATTTTCAGGAGTGCAGATGTGAAAACGATTCTTCATGATGCGATATGTCCTCAGAAGTATCCCAATATTTCTTACTCCACCCCTTCTTGAGATGCAGGTATTATATAAGAACTGTTGCTCGTCCATAGAAAAGTGTTTAAAACTTGCATTCTAGGACAAACTTTTATTTCATTTCAGATTCAAAGTTTCTCCTGACTCCGACAAACCGTCTGATCGTATCTATGACCTTTTATCTATTTACCCAGAATCATTTGATCTCTGCTTCTATTGGATCATCTGCTCGCTGTGTGTGTGTGTGTGTGTGTGTGTGTGTGTGTGTGTGTGTGTGTGTGTGTGTGTGTTTGGGTCGAGCAGGCTGCTTGTGGTTGCAGGCAAATAAGTCAAACAGAGGTGGGGGTAAGTTTGGGAGGTGGGGGGGACGCTGCGGTCTGACGCTGTCCAGACACGAGACACAGATCTTCAGGAGCGGAACGCCTCACGAGACTCCTGGCCAGCTCTGACGCACATCGAGCACACAGCTTAATAAATCAGAGAAAGTTACTGGGGGGGAGGGGTTAGAGGGGGGGTGGTGGAGGGAGCTGCAGGGGACGGAGAGACACACAGGGAGGAGTAGAGCCTTACGACTTTGTCCTATTTGTAACACAAAGAGGGCACTGTGATTAGTGACACTCTCAGCGATGAAGAAAAAAGAAAACAAGGAGGCTGTATTAATTTATGAATACAGGTTTTGTGTCGACGGGGCTCTAAAAAATTATTTAGCAATCATATGTGTGCACATGAACAAAAATAGTCAAATGTCTTGTTTCCGCGGGGCAAAGACAAAGTGCAGCGATTAGAATTTAACAGCGGGCGTTTTATTTATAAGACGATAACATGGTCTTCTGCGTACAAGCCCTGTGGTCACCATTAAAAAGCACACGATAGCACAAAAATTAAAAACGGGGGAAATCCATGAAGCCTAGTAGCAATAAGAGAGCGCAGCACGACTCTCAAAAGCCAAAAATGTTTCTGTTTGACCCTTAACGCTACCCTTACATCGCGCTGCAGCTGAGAACGTTACATAACTAAATTCTACAATTCTACAAACAGACGCTTTTATCCAAAGCGACGTACATCAGAGAGTAAGAACAACACAAGCAAGGAGCTAGAAAAAAGGGAACAATGTCAGTAAGAGCAAACGATCAGCTTGAGTCTGATTGGACACACAGGTGCTGACAGGAAGTGACCAGAGGCAAAGCACAACATTGAGGGCAGTTCTTGAGAGCTCTAATCAGTATAGAAACCATCTTATAAGTCGTCGTTATCAAACAAAAACCATCGTCATTACCATCATCATCATCAATAATATGGAGACCATCATCATTAAGTTAGTAGGTATTCATGAAAGAGCTGGGTCTTTAGCTTTTTCTTAAAGGTGCAGAGGGACTCTGCAGATCACATGGGTTTGGAAGTTCATTCCACCACCGGGGGGCGACAGAGGAGAAGAGTCTAGTCAGCGTCTTAGGACCCTGTTG